AATTCTAGCTTTTGATTCATCCAGCCTAGAATTTCGCATGATGTACTCTGCATATAAGTTAAATAAATAAGGTGACAATATACAGCCTTGTTATATTCCTTTTTCAATCTTAAACCAGTCAGTTGTTTCATGTTCAGTCCTAACTGTTGCTTCTTGGTCTGCATATAGGTTCCTCAGGAAACAAGATGATCTGGGACTCCCATCTCTTTGAGGACTTGCCACATTTTGTTGTGATCCACACAGTCAAAGACTGTAGTGTAGTCAATGAAGCAGGAGTAGATGTTTTTCTGGAACGCCTTTGCTTTCTCCATAATCCAGTGAATGTTGGCAATTTGGTCTCTAGCCCCTCTACCTCTTCAAAAACCAGCCTGCTCTTCTGGTAATTCTCAGTTCACATATTGCTAAAGCCGAGCTTGCAGAATCTTAAGCATAATCTTGCTGGGGTATGAAATGAATACAATTATTTGGTAATTTGAACATTTGCTGGCACTGCCCTTCTTTAGTATTGGAATGTAAACAAATCTTTTCCAAACCAGTGGACACTGTTAATTATCCAGATTCACTGGCATAATGAACACAATACTTTAATAGCATTATCTTTTAGGATTTTAAATAGCTCAGGTAGAATTCTGTCACCTCCCCTAGCCTTACTGTTAGCAATGCTTTCTAAGGCCCACTTGACTCCATTCTCCAGGATGTCTGGTTCTAGATCAGTAACCACACCGTCATGGTTATCAGTGATGTTAAGATCTTTATTGTAAAGGGAATTTTTTGTGTGTATCTTGTCACTTCTTAATTTCTTCTGCTTCTGTTAAGTCCCCACCATTTTTATCTTTTATCATGCCCATTTATACATAAAATATTCCCTGGACATCTCTAATTTTCTTGAAGAAATCTCTTGTCTTTCCCATTCTATTGTTTTCTTCTATTTCTCTGCATTGCTCATTCAAGAAAACTTTCTTTCCTTGCTATTCTCTGGAATACTGCATTCATATATATGTATGTGTATGTATATATATATATATACACACACACATATATGTATATGTATACATATATACATATATGTGTATGTGTATACACACACATACACACACATATATACTCAAAAGCAATCCTGCTAATAGGACATAAAAATGAGAGTAAGGAATTAAAGGTAATGAAAGTAGTATTACTACAATGAGCAGGGATTATATATGTCAACACAGGAGGAAGTTTAATGAATAACCCAAAATTCAGCTAATCCCAAATAACACCTCGCTTTGGAATTTACTTTGACATAGCAAGAATTATACAACTGAGGAGCTTCCCCACACATTTCCCTTCTTATTCTCTCCATTCCTTCTATTCTTCAGCTCTCTGATACCACGCCTCAAAGAAAGGTCACGGCTCTTTTGATTTTTCAGCTGGCTAGCTGTCTAACATATTACCTAAAGATTTTTCAATAATCCCCAGAGTGAAGCATAACTCAGTACTGGCCAAGGGTTTATTAAAATGATATGACTAATATTTGGAGAAGGTCCAGAGTCAGAAATTAGGGACTATGAGGGGAAAAAAGGAATTGGGAACAGTTTGCCTATAGAGACAAGCAAAGGTAAATTGAATCTTCCAAATATGTGGCAGAATAATGACAACTCTTCTATCTCTGGTAAGGACAACACAATTGGAACTGAAATGATTCAGATTAGCTATAGGGGAAAAAAATCTTATTATCATTCACAACATTTTTGAAGTACCTACTATGTGCCAGACCCTGTAGTAGGCCCTGGGGACACAAAAACCAAAGTGAAACCATATCTATCATAAAGGAGTTTATAGTTTACTGGAAGGTACACGATAAGTACAAGGTAATTTCATGAATGAGAGAACACTAACTTCTGGGCCATTTGGGGGTGGAGGAAGGAGGACAGGGACAGAAGGATAACATTCCAGACATAGTAGCCAGAGATGTCCATAGAGATGAAAGCTAAAACACTGAATTCAGTGAAGAGATAATAGACCTGTTTGGCTGGAACATAAAGGCTGAATTTGCATTTTATCCTAGTGCCATAGGGCGCAAGTAAAGTTTTTGATCAAGGGAGAAATTCAATAAGACTGTGTATTAGAAATATTAATTTGGTAGCTATGTGATGGATAAATCGGAGAGAAACAGAGACTGGAAGCAGGGGGAAATGAATAAGAGGTCATTATAAGAGTCCAGGGAAGAGGTAATAAGAGCCTGAAGTAGGGGTAGTAGTTATGTGGGTGGGAGAGATATAAATTTTGTTCTGGAAGGATATTATGCAAGATGTAACCAAACTATATGGGTTACAGGATCAAAGACTTAGAGCTAGAAGGAAATAAGAAGTTATAGAGTACAACTCCTTCATCAACCAGCTGAGGAAACCAAGATCCAGAGAAGTTGTGCCATAAGTTCTTGGGGTTACACAATTAATAAGAGGTAAAACCAGAATTCAAAACCCAGGTCACTGACTCCAAATTCAATGCTCTTTCTACTACTCCAGCTGCATATCCATGCTCTATGATAACCCTACTAACTACTTTGGAGCAATCCTCTCATTCATAATCCCAACATACATAAATACCACTTTTAAAAATTTATAGAAAAGTTTTTACAAGAATATAAAAGTAGAGAGAGAAGAAATACTTTCCCTTGGGTAGTAGCAATGGTAGATGTTGAAATCTCAACTTTTGCTGGTTGAGTGTATGTCTACAAATGCACGCGCACACACACACACACACACACACACACACACACACACACTACATACTCTTTACATCCAGCCAGCCATCTGGCCATCTGTCTGTTAATGCTAGCTACCTTGATTCTGTTCAGCTGGCCCAGCATCATTCGAAAATGACTAAACTTCCCTACCCCAGATTTTTAGAAACCATGATCCCAGTGGGGAAATTTACTTATCTAAAGAACTCTTGCCCTGGGGCTCAATGGTCTTGTTTAGTAATTGAGTGAATACAAACTAGCCCACTTTAACTAACTAGGGCAGACTCCAGATCATACTTCACCTTCATAACCCACCTAACCACTTCTCCACCTTCCTGCTACCCCCTAACTTTCTGCCTCTTGCTCTGGGGTAGTAATGTAATCAATAGTCAGTCAGTCTGTCTGTCTGTCTCTCTCTCTCTCTATTTCCCCCTCCCTCTCTATGTCTTCCAAAAGCTTTGCACGGCTGGCACATGGTAAGAACTTAATAAATAATTTTAATATATTTTCATTTATCATGTATATATTATAATACTTTAACATAAAATATCAATGTGCCCTCAAACCCAAACCCTGTTCTTGGTTCTCACCATAAGCACTAATTATTTAAGCCTCAGTTCTTTCCCAGGCCATCACTTCTGCACTGACTACACTCTCATCCTTTCCCAACCTAAACCCTTGGTGAACCACTTCAGCTATACACTGTCCTTTTCTTTGCAATACCTTGCCCCTTTATCCTATTACTGTTATTGCATAGCCAAGTCTTAGCTTGTATTACTCCCACCATCCATTGTTCCTACTATCCACTCCCATTTTTACTATTTACAAATGAAGTTGAAAAAAAATCATAAAACCATGCTAACTGGGTTCACTACAAACTTATGACACATAAACTCAACTGGGCCCTCACTGCTACAATGCAATCCTTTCACATCTCCCTAACTGACTCACTATTCCATTCACCATAGTGGTTTTTCCAAACCTTTTCATCCCTTCTCAAACCTCCCTCGCCCAGACACCCTCAGTTGAGAACTCGTATTTCACTGAAAAATTTGAAGCCACTTACTGAGAGCTCCCTCTTCTCCTCTCTTCTCACATCACCCACTTCATTTCTGCCACTCTCTCCGCCTTCACTCCTACCTTACATAATAGGCGGCCCTTCTCCTTGCCAATGCAAACCCCTCTACATGCACAAGTGATCCTATTCCATCTCATCTTCTCCAGCAGATTGTCCCCTCTATCATTCTTACTCTCTTGCTTCTCTTCAATCTTTCCTTGTCTACTGGCTGTTTCCAAACTGTCTATAAACATGCCTATGTCCGCCCCATCCTCAAAAACCCTTCAACTGATCCATCCATCCTTTCTAGCTATCCCGTACCTTTCCTCCTTTTTGTGGCTATATTCCATGAGAAGGCTGAATACATCAACACTTTTAATTTTTCTTCTCACTCTCTTCTTAACTCTCTACTGTCTTTCAGTTTTATCATTCAACCAAAATTGCTCTCTTCAAAATTGTTCATCAGTGTCTTAATTGCCGAATATAACTGTTTTTTTCTCAATCCTCATCCTTCTTAACTCATCTTCCTAAGTTCAAATCCAGCCTCAGACACTAACTAGTTGTGTGACCCTGGGCAGGTCACTTAATCCTGTTTGCCTCAGTTTCCTCATCTGTAAAATGTGCTAAAACTCCAAATGGGGTCAGGAAGAGTCAAACATGACTGAAAACAGCTGAACAACAAAAACATGTATCTATCTATGCAAACATTCAAATGAAGTAAGTCCCTGATTGCTTCAGGAGATACAAATATTTGATATGTCTACACATAACTCTATTAAAGCATTCCTATCGAGTCCCTTTTATCATGAACCTTGACATTTAGAACTGGGAAGAGCAGGGATTTCAGTATCCAAAAAACATACAGAAAGAGAATGTTAAAGGTTCAAGAGAAGGAAAGGGCAAGGAGACTGGAGGCCCCATAGAGAAAAGATTCTGACTCTGGTGCCTACCTGGGCGGGAGGGGCGAGGCACCTTCAGGAGGTGGGCGGGGCCTAGGGAAGGCGTGGTCTGGGGGGAGGGGGAGGAAGATGTGGTCTGGGAGGGGAGAAAAGGCAGGGACTCGATGGGAGGGGGGAGGGGGAGGAATGGGATGCAAGTCTCTCACTTGGGGCACAGCAGAGGGAGTGTGGGAGAGCCGGACACAGGCCTAGGTCGGGGGACGGGGAGGAGGGAGAGGCGCCTGCCCGCCGGTTCCTCGAGCCCGAGCCCGCCTGCACTCACTCATCCTCCTGCAGGAGGCTCCTCTCCGTGATTGGCCTCACCACCGCCCTCGGAGACTCGGCATCCGGACTGGAGGGGCGGAAACACAGGCTCAGCTTCTCCTCCAGGCCGCACGCCAGCGCCGAGAAGCCGACGCCTCCCTCGTCGTCAAGCGCCCTGGCCCCGGCGTTACGGTTCTGCTGGTCCAGGCGGCCCCGAGCCGAATCCTGAAACTCATAGAAATCCTGCCAGTCCCCGTCAGCCGCCATCATTGCCCGGCCAGGCCCGCCGTGCTCCGCCCCGCCCCCTGCCGGCCGGCCCCGCCCCTTGCGCGACCTCGCTTCCCAGGCCCCGCCCCCCCGTTCTCAGCTGCTGCTGCCGTGGCCCCGCCCGGCTCTGTCCCCTGCTTCCTTGTTCCTGGAGGGGATACCCAGCCTGCCTTTCTGTCCTCTGAGCTTTCTGCTTTAGGAATGTATCGCTTTCCTTTGAGAAGAAAAGCTAACGATGGGCCGATATGGCCCAAACGTGGTATGAAAGAAGAGTACTGGTAGTAAAGTCTGTGTCTTTTAATTTGGGCAGTCAGGGTCAGCTGGGTGGCGTGTGGATAGAGCACCGGGCCTGGAGTCTGGAAGATCTAATTTCAAATGCAGCCTCAGACACTGGGTAACTTATTTAACCCTATTTGCCTCAGTTTCTTCGAAGAAGAAAATGGCAAACCACTCTGCATCTTTGCCAAGAAAATCCCAAAGACTCATGAAGAGTCAGACAGGAATGAACAAGTTCAGCGTCAGAATCATAAGATCCTAGATTTATGAAAGAAAGAATGAATGAGTAGCGTTTAGCAAGCATTAACTTAGTAAGTACTGTTCTAAACAGTGGAAATACAAATAGAAAAACAAGACACTTCCTGTTCTCAAGGACCTAATATTCAGATAGAGAAAGAACACATATTGGTTCTATCTGCAAGTCAGACAGTCCTTAGAGTAAATCTACTGATAATCCTATATGGATTTGACATTTAACAATGTGAAGGACTTTGGTGGTGAGAATTTTATTTTCCAGGTCTTCAGGATCTGTAACTAATGAAGAAGCAGGGGTTCCTGCACCCCACCTCTCCAGTAGTAGATGCCAGATCACATCTCTGCAAAAATTGCTTGCTGGGATGATAGCTTCAGAAAGTGGATTAGAAACAAAACCAGTGGTCTAGGAGTTAGAGATTGCTGCCATTCCTCACCCTTACCTGGCTAATAGCTGCAATTGGTCAAGAGTTGGTGCAGGTGGTAGCAAAGAAATTGGGCCCTTTCTGCATAATGATTGCTCCTCTAAATGATGGCTTTGGAGCCCAGACTGGAAGCCAGGCCGGTGGTCTTCTGGGCAGTGCTATTCCCAAGGCTCTTAGATTCAGGGTTCTGGTTATTTATATAAGTTTTATAAGTTGTGGTCAAGATGCTGGCAGTGAGTTGACTTGCCTGATACATACCACCTCCTGTCTCTATCTTAGGGTACCTTGCTGCTTCAGCTAGACTGGCTTTCCTTCCCCACAGGTAGCACCTCAAAGGACATTTAGACCAGCTCTCTCAATTTTACAGATGAGAAAACTGAAGACCAGAGAGATTAAGTGATTTTTTAAAAATTTTTTAAATTTATTTATTTTTAGTTCTCAACATTCACTTCCCCAAGATTTTGAGTTCTAAATTTTGTCCCCATCTCACCCCTCCCCCCACCCCAAGATGGCATACATTCTATATACCCTTTCCTCTAATCTGCCCTCCCTCCTATTTCTCCCCCCCTCTCTTATCACCTTCGCCTTCTATTTTCCTGTAGGGCAGGATAGATTTCTGTACCCCATTTCCTGTATTTCTTATTTCCCAGTTGCATGTGAAAGCAATTTTTTTTTAACATGCGTTTTTAAAACTTTGGGTTCCAAATTTTCTCCCTTCCTCCCTCTCCACCCACCCTCATTGATAAGGCAAGCAACTCTATATAGATTATACATGTTTAATCATGCAAAACACTTTCATAGTAGTCATGTTGTGAAAAACTAAGTATATTTCCCTTCATCCTATCCTGCCCCCCATTTATTCTATTCTCTTTTGACTCAGTCCCTCCTCAGAAGTGTTTGCTTCTGATTACCCCCTCCCCCAATCTGCCCTCTCCTCTATCATCCCCCTGCTCTCTTGTCCCCTTCCCCCGATATTTTCCTGTAGGGTAAGGTAGATTTCCATACCCAATTGAGTGTGTATGTTATTCCCTCCTTAAGCCAAATCCTATGAGAATAAGATTCACTCATTCTCTCTCACCTTCCCCCCCTTTCCCCTCCATTGTAAAAGCCTTTTCTTGTCTGTTTCATGTGAGATAATTTACCCCATTCTACCTCTCCCTTTCTCCTCCCAGTATAATCCTGTCTCACCGCTTAATTTTATTCTCCAGATGTCACCCCTTCATCTTCAACTCACCCTGTGCCCTGTATCTATCTATCTGTCTATCTCTCTCTCTCTCTCTCTCTCTATATATATATATATAATATATATATATACACACATATATATGTATACACATACATACAATTTTTTTCCCTGCAACTACCCTAATACTGACAAAGGACTCATGAGTTACAAATATCATCTTTCCGTGCAGAAATGTAACAGTTCAAACTTAATAAGTCTCTTATGATTTCTCTTTCCTGTTTTCCTCTTCATGTTTCACTTCATGTATTTGAAAGTCAAATTTTCTATTCAGCTCTGATCTTTTCATCAAGAATGCTTGAAAGTCCCCTATTTCACTGAATGACCATTTTTAAATTCTCTCTCCTGGATCTATTTTCCAGGTCAGTTGTTTTTTCAGTGAGATATTTCACATTGTTTTCTATTTTTTCATTCTTTTGGATTTGTTTTACAATGTCTTGATTTCTCATAAAGTCACTAGCTTCCAGTTGCTCCATTCGAATTTTTAAGGAATTATTTTCTTCAGTGAGCTTTTGGACTTCCTTTTCCATTTGGCCAATTTTGCTTTTTAGGGCATTCTTCTCCTCATTGGCTTTTTGGACCTCTTTAGCCATTTGGGTTAGACTATTTTTTAAGATGTTATTGTCTTCAGTATTTTTTTGGGTCTCCTTTAGCAAGCTGTTGACTTGTTTTTCATGATTTTCTTGCATCACTCTCAGTTTTTCCTCTACTTCTCTTGCTTGCTTCTCAAAATCCTTTTTGAGCTCTTCCGTGGCCTGGGACCAATTCATATTTTTCTTGGAGGCTTTGGATATAAGAGCTTTGACTTTATTGTCTTCTTCTGGTTGTATGTTTTGATCTTCTTTGTTGCCCAAGTAAGATTCTATGGATTGACTCTTTTTGCGCTGCTTGCTCATGATCCCAGCCAATTACTTGAGTTATAAACTCTTTGTTAAGGTAGGGGTCTGCGTCCAGTGTGGAGAATGTACTGTCCCAAGCTTCAGAGGTTTTGTGCAGCTGTTTTCAGAGATACTTCTAGGACCTGTAAATTTTCAGTTCTTCCAAGATGCTATGATCAAGGGCAAAGTGTTTACTCCTTTCCTGTCCTGTGCTTTGGCCTATGAGTGACCATAAGCACTCTTTTCTGTCTAGGAACCGTGAGGAGGAGTCTCTCTCCACAGCCACTACAAGCTCTACCACACCAGCGCTCCTCCTCGGCCCAGGACCGCCACCCAGAACTGTGACCCAGATCCAAGCACGAGCAAAACAAGAGATTCCTGCCTCAGCCCTGGCAAAGAGATCCCTGCAATCCCCCTCTGATTAGCCACCCAATTCCCCCTCAGTTTGTGGGCCAGAAGCTCCAGAGGCAGCCACCACCCTAGGGCCACACTCAGGGACTGGGGCTGGGACCCCGGGCTTCTTTCTCACCGCTGAAACGCAAAGACTTTTCCTACTGACCTTCTAAGTTGTCTTTGGCGTTCGTGGGTTGAGAAGTCTAGAAACCACCACAGCTACCTGCAATTCAGTCTTCTGAGGACTGTTCCAGGCTTGCTGAGGCCTGCCTTGCCTGCACGCCCATGCCCACCTGTGTTCCTCTCCCTGCTCGGTGCGATATACCTTTCTGAGCAACTATCCAGGTTGTCTTGGTCTGTAAGTTTGCTTCCCTCTGTCTTTTTGTGGGTTCTGCTGCTTTAAAATTTGTTTATAGCCATTTTTTTATAGGTATTTGGAGGGGTTTGGGGGAGAGCTAACTGGTTTTACTCTGCCATCTTCACTTCACCCCCAGAGATTAAGTGATTTGTCCAAGGTCACACAATGAGACTGAATTTGAACCCAGATCTTTTGATTCTTTACATTGTACAACTCTCTTTCTCAGAGTTGGATGCAATCCAGTAAATTCTTAAACAAGAACAACATACCTAACAAAGAGTTCATCTAGCCTGCTTGAAGATCTTCAGTCAGAAGTAATGATCCATGACTTCCTAAGATAGCCAGTTTCACCATTGAGCAGTATGATTCCATCGAAAGAGCTTCAGATTTGGAGTTAAAGAACCTGGATTAAGAACCTGGCTCTTCCATTTATTCCCTGTGTGCCCTTGGGCACATTACTTAACCTACCTCTCCTTCAGGTCATTATTGTAAGTAAGATAAGGGAGATGACTAGGTGACATCTAAGGTACCTTCCAACTCTATGTCTTGGGTCCTATCACTTTATTTTAAATAGAAATCTGCCTCTGTAACTTACACCCAGGGCTCCTAGATCCCTTCTTTAGAACTGGATATCATTGTCATCATCATTATCATTGCTAGCACTTTTAAGTTTGCAAACTGTTTTACAAATATTACTTCATAACAACCCAGGGAGGTAGCTGTTAATATTATCCCCATGTAACAGATGGGGCAGACATAAGTTAAGTGACTTGCCTAGAGTCACACAGCTAGTAAGTGTCCAAAGTTGGATTTGAATTGAAGTCTTTCTGATTCCAGTTTCAGGTCTCTATCCACTATACAATATTAAGAGATTTGGGGTAGGGGGGAATGGCTGAACAAGTTGTGGTATATAGATTGTGTTGGAATACTATTGTGCTATTAAAATGACAAGCAAAATGTTTTCACAAAAACCTAGAAAGATGTATATGAACTCATGCAAACTGAAATGAGCAGAACCAGGAGAATATTATATACAGTAACAGCAATATTGTAAGGATGATCAACTGTGAAAGACAGCTACTCTAATCAAGACAATAATTGAAGACAATTCCAAAGGATGCATGCTGAAAAGTACTATCCATCATGAGAGAATTGATGAACTATGAATGCAGTTTGAAGCATACTTTTTTAAACTTTA